TCCAAATGTGTATATTGATCATAAATATGATTATGATTATATTTCTGGAATTACTCCATGTGGTATGATGAAATGTTTATGGGAGATTCATGCTGAAAAATGTTTTAAAAAAATAACATGTACTGATAAACACAACAAACACACATCTCTTTCAGCTCAACCCTCTGACTTAATATTGTCTCTTGTGATTTTTAGATCTATCCCTCTGACAATAACGGCAGCAGCTACTCCCCGAGTCCCTCCACTCCTGTGGGCTCTCCTTCAAACGTTGCTGGTGGGTTTCCTGAAGGTTCTTCCTTGAAGGCCATCTGCTGTGGGATTGCTCTGATGCCTCCACACACAAGGCTTTATTGACTCCTGTGTTTGTGTTTTCAGCTTCTGCATCTCAGTGGCCCAAAAGCTCCTCTCAGTCTGCGCCGTCGCCCGGTTTTGAGCCAGGATTGCAGGCGCCGGTACGTTCCTCTGCCTCACCATAGAGCAGAAAAACTAGAGATTAAATAAACTTTTAAACTGGAGATTTTACTGTGAGTTGTGTTGCATATGAAATATGCATGTATTGTGTTTCTAGAAACATCAAATAATATTCATGATCAATATTTGAAGTCCACATGTAGGAATTTGCATTTAGTTTATATGCAGTATATTTGACTGAATTGTAATAAGTTAAGATTCACTTTAAGGTTCCAGATGTAAGAACTGTTATTTTACACTTTAAAATGCATAATTCTCCCATCAAGATTTGTACAACTTATAATAAATATAATTAAAATATATTATAATAACAATAATAATTTCTTCATATAACATAGATAATTTCCATAAAATTTCACTTGATGTTTATGATCAATATCCACATAGGAACGTTATAAATATAGAGTACTTAATTTATATCTAGTGTATTCTATTATATTTAACTGTATATATTAACTTTCACTTTATGGTTTCAGAATGCACCATTTTACGCAATATATTATATAAACAATACTTTAAAATTTGGTCAGTGTTTCTTTTTATTAAGTTCAATGTGTTGAACCATTTTGTTGTGCTGAACCAGGGTTTTATAATTAAAAATAAAACCCGTTATAAAAACATTTTTGTTACTTGAAATAAAATAAACGTTAACTGATATAAAACAAAATGTTAATAACTTTTTATTTCGGCTAGTTTCCATGGCAACATTTCTCATTTTAATTTAGTTTACCTTGATGTACAAAAATAACAAACTGAAATAAATTAATGAAAACTATATAGACATATGTATAAAAAAAATTTAAAAATGACAAAAACATACAAAAATTACATTTCAAATGAAAACGGAAAATATAAAGATAAAAACTGATTTAAAAATATTTAATGGTACTATCTCAATGATATTAAAATAACACTCCTGAACAGCAAAATTTAAATGTTTTGATGGGTATTAATGATTGAACTACATTTATAGAAATATGTCTAATCAGTTGATAAAAGTGCGTTCTACATTTAAGCGAACAAATAGTCGTAATTAACTTTTTGTCCCCTCTTTCGTCTTTAAGGCTCACAGAAATAACGGTCATTGCCAAAGCTCTGTTGCAAACAGTGTTGGGCTAGTTATTCAAAGAATGTAATGTATTACTCATTACTAGTTACTCCTTTCAAAAGTAATATTGTTACTTGTTACTTTCTGGCAACAGAAATTAGTTACACTACTAGTTACATAATTTTTTCTTCACGCCCCACAGAAGTTGTAACTGTGTATCTTCCACATAAAATTCTTCTAGAATGTTACTAACAACATATTTCTGCCTCATCATTTGACCAAAATCCACTTTGGATCGCAGTCAGAAGTTATTACAAACACTCAATAGCGATTGATAGTGACACTCAAGTAGAAGTGTTGTATTAATCTCATTCATTGTCATGTGTAGCTTGAAGCTAATTGTAATTTCTCCGTTACCCATATATGATTATATTTCATTATGTATTTTATCAAATCACATAAGTTTGTAAGAAACTTTAATTTTCTAAAAATATTTTTAATTATAGTAATATAATGTACCACATGCTGCTGATCAGAGGGGTGTGGGTGGGATGTAATGCCAGAGTAAAGTAAAGCCACAACTTACTCAACAGTGTTCAGATCATCTTTTTTTCCTGACAAAATCAATATAATGCAATATTTGTATCTGCTGAATGTAAGCTTTTCCATATTCCAAGCTTACCTGCTGCACTAGGGACATCACATGCATGTGCGAGTCGTGAAAATTATGAAAATAAATCTAGGAATTATTTGATTGTTGGATTTTAAATCAGCGGGGTTGAGGCATCAAAAGTAACTAAGTAACTAAGCTTCACATGCATGTGTGAGTCGTGAAAATTATGAAAATAAATCTAGGAGTTATTTGATTATTGGATTTGAAATAGTGGTCGACCGATATTGGTTTTTTGACAGCCGATGCCGATATCTTGGAAAGCAGGGTGGCCGATATAAAGCCGATATAATTTTATTTATTTTAATTAATATTTAAGAAATTTTAAATCATTTGAAAATGGATTAAAAAATAAATGTGTAAAATAAACATTTATACTTTAAATGGCAAAGTATTTTTCACAAATAAATAAATATTTAATAAAAATATAATTAAAAAAGGAAGTAAACACTGTAACCAACAGGCCACTCAGTAATCTGGGAAGTTTGTGTGCATTGGGATTTTGGAATCATATTTTTTCAAATAAAGCCAAGGTAACACTCATTTTACATGCAGCACACAGTGAAAATGACACGAATATGACATTGGGCAAAAGCATTCAAAGATTTGTTTAAATGATATAAATGCGTATTTGCTGAATGCTGACGGAAAACGAGAAAGTATTATAATGTTTGCCATAACTAATAATATAAAAGCAATCGTTATAATACTTTTTTGTATACATTTTAATTCCTTTGTTTAACAGTTCTTTCTGATTATTAGACAGACTTCTATCCGTATTAGACAGAACTGTTAACGACGACAGCGAACAAGGAGAATGTGAACACTGTGTGCGCAGGTGCTGCCGCTCTCAGTACCGTCAAAATAAAAGTCCTGCCTCGAACACATCGGCCAAACAGAAAAACTTGTCTGCCGATATTTGAAAAATGCCAAATATCGGCCGATATATCAGCCTTGGTGATATATTGGTCGACCACTAATATATTGGTCGACCACTAATTTGAAATCAGCGTGGTCGAGGCATCTAAAGTAACTAAGCTGTTTTATGGATGGTAACTGTAATATTATTACTGAAATATTATTACTGAAATCTTATTAGTAATTAGTTACACTTCTAGTTAATGCAAAAAGTAATATTATTACAGTAACTAAGTTACTAGTAACTAGTTACTGCCCAATACTGGTTGCAAACTGTCTCGTTGTGCATTTGATGAACTTTGGCAGCTTGAGTGATGTGTGTTTTTTTGCAGAGTAAGATGGATGACCGTCTGGGTGAAGCGCTGCAAGTGTTGAGTCATTATGCGGTGGGTGCAGACATGCACAGTTTACTGAGCGCAGCCGTCTCTGGACATCCGGCTGGTGCAGCGGCCCTGGGCTCCATCAGTCAGGCCTTCGGGCTCGCCAGCCGTCTGCCAGGCCTGGTGAGTGCTTCCAACCCCAGTGAGCTGCCTGCTTAGGGCACTGTGAAATCTGCTTTATTTTTTCCTGAATTTTGTTTTGAAGGGGTCATGACATGGATTGTTTTATTATTTTAATATGTTCCTTGAGGTTTACGTATAATGTTAATAAAGTATTTTGCACAAAAAAATAAATATGTGGAAAAGCGATAATTTTCAACCCTCATTCTGACCCTCTGTAAAATGACCTGTTTTTATTGGGCGGGTCCTTTAAAGGGGTCATCGGATGCTACAAGCACTTTTACAAGTTGTTTGAACTGAAATGTGTGTTGGCAGTGTGTGTACACAACCACCCTATAATGATAAAAATCCACCCAGTGCTTTTTTTTTTTTATCTACTAAAATCATTTCCCCTTTCTCAAATCGAGCCGATCTCAGATGCCTGTCTGTGTGACGTCACACGGACGAAGGCCCCTCCCTCGATTGTTGATTGAAAAGGCCGTCTTACCTTAGACCCGCCCTGAGTGACTGTCATCAGTCCACCATTGTATTACAACTGGAGCAGATGTAGACAAGAATGACTCCTAAGCGATTGAGGTGTAAGACCCTAAAGAATCATATCAACTTGTGGAAAATGGGCATCTGATGACCCCTTTAAGACTTCTCAGTAATCAGCCACTGTTATGATTGGCTAATGTCATTGCATAGGACACAGTATCAACGCCCCCTCGATATTGCATGTGTTTTGACAACATAATCAAAATAAAATGGTAATTTCCAAACGAAGTATTATTAAATCATTTACTTAGTTTGTGATGCAGCTGCACTCAGATCTTCATCTTTCAACAAATGTTTCTTTGTGAACTCTCCGTGACACTGTGTCTCCTTTACAAAACAAAGCTCTCCTGACAATCCTCTGACATGATCTGGGATGCCATTAAAAATAAACTATCCACTTGTTTCTTATCCTTCTGAGATCTGTACAAAGACGCGAACGAGCTGCTTAAACCAAACGCGTCAAAGCGAACGTTCTTTCACTGCATTTGTCCTGACGACAGACTCGTGCGTGGACTGTGTCAGAAAGCGAACACGCATCTGTATACTGTATCCAGTGTATACTAGGGGTTGAATGACTTCTGATTTTTTTAAGTCGACTTTTATGTGATGAAAGTCGAGTCGAAGTCGACTAGTCGCTGATGACGTCATTAATGAACAAATAAGTCTGGAGCTGAGACAAACAGCTTGTGCACAGCTATGGCATATGACACAGCGCTGCCCACATGGCTGTTGCTCCTATAACAGCTTTTTTTATCAGTTCTTGTCTTTGGGTCGTTATATTTCTAACAGATTTCTGCTCATTCTCAATCAGATACAGATAAAGTAGCACAGTAAAGATTACATTCATATGAATGCATTAGTGAGAGCGATTGCGTGTGAATTAATTCTACCTGGCAGCGTCTCTCTACTAGTAGTGAAGCTGTGGAATTTAGTTATTAAGAAATATATGCTTGAACTTTTCAGTTTCTAAGCTATTTTATTGAGAAATCACAGAACAGTGTTGACAATACATTTCCGCGCTGAATGATTATGTGTGCGTGATGTACGCACTACTGTCTGTAGCCTATGTGTGTGCGTCACAGTGCAGCAGCGCATTAGATTAAAACGGCAATTAACATACCTGTACAATAAGCTGTTTAAACCGTGCATTCTCCCGTTCAATTTCGAGCATCCAGTAATATAATCACAAATGTCTTGTGGAGCGCTTTCAGAGTATGCATTTATTTGTCATTTGAACTGTTTGGAAACGGAGTGTAAATGTGGAAGTCCTTCAAAGATTTCTTATCCTGTTGCGCCCTCTATAGGACCAGCGACTAGTCGACGTCAAGCTTAAAGCGTCATGGCAGAGCATTGTAGTCGACCAGTCGATTAGTCGGTGCAACCCCTAGTGTAGACAAGATAGCGGCAGTGATTGTAATTTCTGTTTTCTTTTGACGCGACACGACACTCGCATTCAGCGTGATCAAGTCAGTTATGAAATTTGCAGGATGTATTAAGCATACAAAGACCTCTTCTATGTCAGAGATCAAGGGAAATTTGGTTTCTCATGTCATGACCCCTTTAATGGCTAAATTAAATTTTAGTAATCAAGCATGTTTTAACAGTGAATTCATGAATTTGTGTCAATCAAATGAAACGTGTACAATTTAACAACAATTTGTTAAGAGTTTTACAAAAATGTAATTTTCAGGGCCCTATAAAAAAAGCTGTTTTTTTAAAAAGATTTTTTGCCCCCAAATTAAGTTTATTTTTTTTTATTTATTTATTTTTTTTACAGATTCTTTGTTAATTTTTTAATGGTTTAAATAAATGTTTTATAAATAATTAAATTGTTAAAGTGATATGAATTCAGATTATTAGACATCCTTACTGATTATTAAAATGTAACAATAAGAGTGCCCTAATAATTTGTATAATAATTTTTCTGGATTGTGTTTTATGATTTAATACAAATTTATTATCAAAAACGGTGGTAATCAAATGAATGAGTTTAATAATTTGTTACATTTGTAATAATAAAAAGTTACAAATGATATAGACAAATGCCCTATGAAATAGACATTTCACTAAATTTAGTTCAGAACTGTCAAAACAATTAACTGCCATCAAAACTAAATTTAATTTTGCCAATCAATAAAATTTTAATAATCAAAAAGGATGTCTAATCAATTGAAATCATAGAACTTTAACAATTAAAAAAATTATTAAAATTGTGACACCCCCCCCTCCCAAGACATTTTCTGGATTGTGTTTTTATGATTTAATACAAATTTATTAACAAAAATATTAGTAAACAAATGAATGCATAAAACCTCAACAGTCTTTAAAAAGTTAATCAAATGAAATTTGAATAATTTCTTTCTTTTCTTGGGCAAACAACATACATTTACTGTTTAAATCAAAACATGATCAAACAAACTGTGTGATATCTCTTACAACTGTTTACATAAATGGTATTATTATTTTTTTATTATGTTGAGAAGTACATTCCACTGTACAATAGTAATTAAACTACTTTTATTTTGGCGGGTTGTAGTAAAGGCCTTTGAGTTTCTAAGTGTATCTGATGATCGTTTTCTTAAATGAAATGGTGAAATGCTGGTAAAGTGACTCTCAGGGCAACTCATGTGGAGTGAGAAGGCAGATGAGTGTACACTATCAGCGTATATTAACTGTCTCCTGCTCTTTCCTCTAGATGTCAAATCACAGTGATGATGCCGCAGGTTTACCACAGTCCAGTGCTCTGCTGCAGGGACACCACGCCCCCCATCAGGCCCCTCCCACTTCCCAGTCCGACACCTTTACCAGTCAGTGCTGCTTTTTGAATTATAATGCTCATTTCATGACATTTGATTGATTGAGATTCATAAATGATGTGCTTTGTGCAAGTATTTTAGCAGACAAGCATGCAAAATGTCTTTGTATCATGCATTCTTTTCAGACTTATTAAGTATTTCTGTAGCTCAAACATGGTGCTAGAAACACAGTTCATAGGTTCGGTTCTCAGGGAATGCATGAACCGATAACATGCATACCTTGAATGCAATGCAAGTCAGTTTGGATGAAAGCATCTGCCAAATGCATAAATGTTCAACATTTATGAGTCTAATTTTAACATCCAGAAATCAAACACATCACCTTTAAAGAATTACAGGATGATTTCACTGTGCTGTTGTTGCACAGTGTGATCAGCGTTTTCTGTTGCTAATCTCATCTTGTTTTTGTCTGTCAGGTCTTTCTCTGCCTCACTCCTCTCACTCATCCAGCTCGGATATAAAGCGGGAAGATAAGGAAGATGATGAGAACCTGTCTATTGCAGATAAATCAGAGGATGAGAAGAAAGACGGGAAAAGCCACACGCGATCGAGGTACTTGCCGCCCTGCAAACCTTCATTTAATCACAGGAGAAATACATATACAGTACTGGTCAAAAGTGTGGAATAATTAAGAAAAATTAAGTCTCTTATACTCACCAAGGCCGCATTTATTTGACCAAAAAACAGTAATATTGTGAAATATTATTGCAATTTAAAATAACTTTTCAATGTGAATGTTAAACTGTAATTTATTTCTGTGATCAGCATCATTACTCCAGTCTTCAGTGTCACATGATCTTGAGAAATCATTCTAATATGCTGATTTGCTGCTCAAGAAACATTTCTGATTAATATCAATGATGAAAACAGTTGTGCTGCACAATATTTCTGTGGAAACCGTGATACATTTTATTTTTCAGGATTCACAGATGAATAGAAAGTTCAAAAGAACAGTATTTATTTGAAATGGAAATCTTTTGTAATATTGTAAATGTCTTCAATTTCACTTGCTCAAGTGAATAAAAGTATTAATATAATTTTCCTTAATTTCATTTACCCCAAACTATTGAATGATAGCGTATCATGATTTCTACAAAAATAAGCAGTGTAAACTGTTTCAACATGTTTCTTGAGCAGCAAATCAGCATATTAGAATGATTTCTGAAGGATCATGTGACTGAATGATGCTGAAAATTCAGCTTTGATCACAGCAATAAATTACATTTTACAATATATTCACATAGAAAACACTTATTTTAAATAGCAATAATATTTCACTTTTTTCATTTTACTGTATTTTTGGTCAAATAAATGCAGCCTTGGTGAGCAGAAGAAGCTTCTTCTTTTATAAACATTAAGTCATAATTATTCCAAACTTTTGACTGCCAGTTAAGTTGCATCAGTAAACACTCAATATACTCGACTTTCCCACCTCCAGCAGCTTCTGATTGGTCCATTTTAAAACCTTGACGTGAGGTTTGCGTCGTTCCCTGTCAGTGTGCCCTGATTGTTTTGCCTGTAACCCCTCTCACCCCTTTGTTCCTCTGACCCATGAAGTCAAGATGATGATGAAGAAGATGATGAGGATTTGCCGATTGAGGTGAAGGCAGAGCGGGAGAAAGAGCGGCGCGTGGCCAATAACGCCCGTGAGCGTTTGCGTGTTCGCGACATCAACGAGGCCTTCAAAGAACTGGGCCGCATGTGCCAGCTGCACATGAACAATGAGAAACCTCAGACCAAACTGCTCGTCCTTCACCAGGCCGTAAACGTTATTCTCAACCTGGAGCAGCAAGTGCGAGGTCAGTGTGTGTGGCTGACCTCCGATCAGTGCTCAGACACCGCAGAGATGTGTCTGTGGTTGGGACACCTGAATGGGTGCAAGGGGAGGTGGACGCATTTGTTGATTGGAGATATTAAATGCATGATGGATAAATGCATATGCATCTAGGTTCAATGCAAGTTACATTATTTTAAGGCAAGACACTACAAGCAAAAATTCACTTGTTAGTTTTGATATTTTGGTCCATTTTCTGACTAGTGGAAGGAATTTTTAAAAGTTTTTTCTCCACTTTAGCAGCACTTACATACACCAAAACTTAGGGTTTTATTCCTATCTTTATTCTGAAGGTTTTTACTGAGGGGTTTGTCCATATATCATTCACACTGATTTATATAACAATTTATTCCTAAAAACATGGCGAAAATGATTCTTTTTAAAGGCTTTGAGGTTTTTTTCTCCACTTCAGCAACACTTACAAACACCTAAATTTACAGTTTTATTCCTCTCTATATTCTGAAGGTTTTTACTGAGGTGTTTGTTCATATATCATTCACATTGGTTTATGTAACATTTTATTCCTGAAACATGGCAAAAATGCTTATCTTTAAAGGCTTTGAGGGTTTTTTCTCCACTTTAGCAGCACTTACATACACCAAAACTTAGGGTTTTATTCCTCTCTATATTCTGAAGGCTTTTACTGAGGGGTTTGTCCATATATCATTCACACTGATTTATAGAACATTTTATTCCTAAAAACATGGCGAAAATGTAATTGTTTTCGGTCTGTTGACAGTATTTTCTAATTTATGGAGTGATAAAAAGAGAAATCCAAAATCCCCTCTGTATAAACATTTAACTGTAATGTGTCGACAAAATCAAACAAGAATTTTGAACCTGGCTTTATCCAGTGTTGAGAAAAATGTATGCAAATTAGTGCATCTTTAATTAGATAATGCCTCATTTACGTATTTAAACATAACATTTCAGAAAACTTGATGTAATTAATCAACTGGGGAAGTATGGTGAAATCTATTAGTTGTTTTACGCTATTCTCATGTGGTGTCTTGCCTTAAAATAAGCCCTAGAAACAGCCTAGCAACACCCTGACAACCAGCCGAGTTGCATTAAACTCAAAAATATTTCCTTTTAGTAGTATCTTAAATTTTTAAAATGTAAATATATATTATTAAAATATGTAAGTTATTAATTTGTCTTGGTGATAATTCTTTCGAGATGCATTATGTAGTATGTTACATAAGCCTCCTGCCTCCCCGCGGCCCACACAGGTGTCTGTTTAGGGTGATTGTGGGACTGTCTGCACTTTCTGTAACTGTGCATGTGTTTGTGTCTTGTCATTTTATGTTTAGCACTCGTCCCTTCCTGTTTTCTGTTCATCTCACCTGCTTGCAAGATTAATGCAACTAACAAACTCGTTTGTTAAAACTAGTTGGAATAGTTAAAGGTATAAATGTAAATTGTCATTTGCTAACTCTAGTTAAGTTTTGAAGGATGTTAGAGTGAATGTACAATGACTGTCAACCCAAAAAAAGCATCATAAAACTATCCTAACTGTCTTGTGCACCATATTCCTTCTTCTCAAGTCTTATCTTTTGTTTGGGGATACAAACTTGAATTGAATTGAATTGAATTGAATTGTCGTCTCACGTCGACAGCGTCTGGATCAAAAAGCTGTGCTTGAACACACCGCACAGACTACTAGGGCTGTCAAAAAAAATCAAATTTTGAATATTCATCGAATTTAAAATAAAAGTCCACATTTGAATGCAAAAACGTTGCATTTGAATTTTAGGTGTGCATCAGGCAGCTTTATCAGTGGCACACGAGATGCGATGACGGTGTAGGTGTCATTTCATTTTAATGCTTTTTTAAGCCTATCCAGTTGAACCCACTGGATGCGGCGCTGCTGCGTTGTTCATTCAAAATATTGCGGAAAAAGAGAACATCAATGCGGAGAAGATCTTGTTTACGTCAAAACTGAAACCAAGCCGTTCACACAGAACGCATATTTGTCGCATTTTCTAGAGGGACATCTATCACCGTTACACTCGCGTCTCACACAAGAGAGACACATGTTTAGAAAGCCATGTAAAATTAACTTAAGTTCAACTTTTAAAAAAACATGTCTCGAGACTTTATGGCGGTTTTTCCCCATCCTACTGCATCTCATGTTTTTAAATGAAAAATACTCTTTGTGATTGGTTTTCGGTCCTTTGTATTAAACTATACATACATACATACATGATTCTGTTTTGTTTCTAATTGTTTAAGCAACTTTATTATATATGGTTTATAAACATTATTTTAAACATTATGCACTATTTTTCAAAGAGAGTCGTGTTATTTTATTGCATTGAATAAACGTGCATTAGTAATATTTTGCTCGATGCGCCCTCTTGTGGCCACAGGAGAGGAGCCAAAATCTTTTATCCCCCCCTAACTGAAATTATGCCTTTTAAATTCGAATACAATTCGAATATTGATCATATTTAAGTACAAAATTCTAATTTAGTTTTTCAGCCCTTTTGACAGCCCTACAGCCGACTGCAAACTAACACATGCGTTCTGCGCCTGCGTGAGAGGAATTAGCTGTCTATATCAGCAGCTATCAATAGTATATATTCATCATTTAAAAGAAGAGACCGAAACGAGGATGTACGAGATATATGCAGATATACGAAACGTAAACAAAATATTTGCATATTGGAATGCTTGGGAAAGATCACGTAAAATTAGAACAGCCTTCTGTCTGTGCTGCCTTCATTTACTTACTAGTTTTCATCAATTTTTACTTTAATTCTGGGGCAGTGACTCATTCGCTAAACTGAGCATCCAATCAGAATTCTCCCTCGTACTGACGGCCCTGACGCCAATTGTGACCCTGGAGCACAAAACCAGTAAATTTTCTGAAATTGAGATTTATACATAATCTGAAAGCTGAATAAATAAGCTTTCCATTGATGTATGGTTTGTATTTTTATAGGACAATAGGACAATATTTGGCTGAGATACAACTATTTGAAAATCTGGAATCTGAGGGCGCAAAAAAATCTAAATATTGAGAAAATCATCTTTAAAGTTGTCCAAATGAAGTTCTTAGCAATGCATATTACTAATCAAAAATTAAGTTTGGATTTATTTACTGTAGGAAATTTACAAAATATCTTCATGGAACATGATCTTTAACTCGATATCCTAATGATTTTTGGCATAAAAGGAAAATCAATAATTTTGACTCATACAATGTATTGTTGGCTATTGCTACAAATATACCTGTGCTACTTATGACTAAAACTATGTTTTAGTTTAGTTTAGTTTTTTATTTCCAGTAGTTTTAGTAATTTTAACTTATTCAGTTGTCAAAAAAGCAACATTTATTTTTTCTCGTTTGTTTTTCATCTAATATTTTATTTCACTTAAACTTTTTCAACTTAAATTCAACTTAAATACAATTTCAATAATTTCAAAATTGTTTTAATTTTAGTTAACAATAATAACCCTTGTGCAAACGTGTCTTGGCGCAACAAGTATGAATAAACACATGCACAAAAGAGATTTTCAGTGAATAAAGGGTTACATTTCAGCCGATTTCCTCGTAAAACACGTTCATTTGACTTCAGAAGACTTGAAATGTAGTGCACTAGTCGTATGGACTACTTTATGGTGCTTTTTTGTCATTTTGCAGTTTGACAGCATCTGTTCCCAATTAATTTCCACAAAAGAAACTCTTGAGTAAATGATGGCATTTTGATTATTCCTTCAAGACTAGTATGAATGCAGCCATTTATGCATAATGCATGCAACCATCCTGATTTCCACAGTGGACATCATCTATGCTTCTGTTTTCCTTTCTAGTTGTTCAATCCTTTTTAAATCTGTGTTCATGCACCTTATGGTTTTCTTTTTCCCCCAATTTGACTGTTGCATGTCCGTAACCCCTCCGATCCGCAGTGAAACGCTTTTTCCGCAGGCATTAACCCCGCAGATTAGAAGAGATGGACTCGTTCTTTTGTGTTTCCTTCTTAACGTTTTACTCGCTTCAGATTGTAATGGTCTGATTAATGCTTGCATGTCATGTTTAACCCTCTGTTTGCCAGGTTGTTTTTCTTTTTACCCATCTCTCCATCTGTTCTTCAGCCCTTTTCTTTGCAGATGGTCGCAATGGTTTTTAGTCTCATGCTGCATAAATGCATCTCAGCAGCGGGATGTGTTTACGATGAGACAGTCGCATTCACCTCATCCTGTCTTCTGTCTGGCTCTCTCAGTGGCAGTGTGTGTTTCTGTTCGGTTCTTGGCAGACGGTGCCTCTCTCTCATCTTGCTGTCCTCTCGTCTTGCGCTCTTTCGCTCCGCGGCAGATCCCACAGGCCTCCTGAAAGCCACTGACACTCGGGCTGTGTCTGCTTTGAAATTGCGTGTCCGGTCACAACGAAAGAAAGATGCTCCGGATCGGTCGCGTCCCGCTCTCCTCTAAAATATACAATAAATGTATATACAATACAATAACTATATATATGTATATATATAAATTTATTTTTATTACTATATAAACCATTATTTTAAATATACATTTTTATATATAAACACACACACATATATTTTCACTAAAGAACCATTTGGAACAAATGTACTGCAATTAACAGGTTCTTCTGGAGTATTTAGTAGTTGAGTAGTATGGTTCTTTTAAACCTAATGAAGCCGAGACAGTTGATTTAGTTGTAGAATGGGCTTAACGAGAGGCTAAATGACTAACGAGCGGCGGTCCCCCTGGCAGCAGCGTGTCGGAGGAGTGTCTGACGGTGGAGGAGAAGGAGCAGCGCGAGCGCGAGCGGCGCATGGCCAATAACGCTCGGGAGCGGGTTCGTGTGCGCGACATTAACGAAGCCTTCAGGGAGCTCGGCCGCATGGTGCAGCCGCACCTGAAGAGCGACAAGGCTCAGACTAAACTCATCATCCTCCATTTTTAGTCTCATGCTGCATAAATGCATCTCAGCAGCGGGATGCGTTTACGATGAGACAGTCGCATTCACCTCATCCTGTCTTCTGTCTGGCTCTCTCAGTGGCAGTGTGTGTTTCTGTTCGGTTCTTGGCAGACGGTGCCTCTCTCTCATCTTGCTGTCCTCTCGTCTTGCGCTCTTTCGCTCCGCGGCAGATCCCACAGGCCTCCTGAAAGCCACTGACACTCGGGCTGTGTCTGCTTTGAAATTGCGTGTCCGGTCACAACGAAAGAAAGATGCTCCGGATCGGTCGCGTCCCGCTCTCCTCTCTGCACCGCCACTGGATCCCTCTCTGCAACCCTCGTTTAACTGGAATCAGTGCAGTTTTAATTGGTTTAATAGGTTCAGACCACTTCAAGTGGGTATGGAGTTTAAAATGCAGCATTTGTTTCTGCTTTTGAAATCGTCTTAAATATCTGTGTATTGTTTAACATGTAAAACAGGATTAATGACGCTAGGGGGGGACCTTTTTGGGCATTTTAAAATTGTGGAAATTCTTAAGTTGAAAAAATATTTTATATTTGTTTTTTTTTTAATTTAATAATATTTGAATACTTTCAAATATATGTAATAATAAAAATATTATATGCATTTAATAAAATTGTAATTACAATGTAGAAAGTATGTCATATAATTTTAGTAAAATTATAATTTATATAATTATAATGCTGCACCTGAAGAGCGACAAGGCTCAGACTAAACTCATCATCCTCCAGCAGGCCGTGCAGGTCATCCTAGGCCTGGAGAGACAGGTGCGAGGTAGGACCAACCCCTGTGAGCCGCCACCGTCCTGCCGAGAATCAGCAGACACACACACACACACACACACACACACCGCTGCTGCTGCTGCTGAGAGCCGCGTCTCTTTCCTCGCTTCCACTGCCGCTGTGTGTTTGTGTGATGCTGACCTTTAGCATCTTTCTGCACAACTTCTGCCACATTAACAGCCTTTCCTGTCAGTCCTTCATTTTAAAGTTGTGATTTGAGCTGCTTATGATTGGAGCAACTAAATATGTTAGGGTTAAAGGGTTAGTTCACCCTACGAGAATACTATTTGTGCGCAAAAGAAAAGAAAAAAACGACTTTATTAAAAAATTAGTCTCCTCAACGTCACCCTAGCGCCATTTTGGAGAGTATCCACTGAATGCAAACAGCGTATGTTGTTCTGTGTCAGCCGTGTATGTGTTTGTGCTTTGATTTGAATGAAAACAACGGGTGAATTCCAAACGATTTTTTTGCGCCCTTGAAGGGCACTTCGGGGACGTTCCAAACGAAAGTGAGCAACTGAATCCCTTCACGAAGGGCCCTTCCAGAAGTCCGTTAGTGAAGGGAACAAGCGATGGTCACTTCACGGAAGTGATTTCCGTTTGTGATCATGTGATCTTCGGTTAGGAGATCTTGCGATGCTTTTTAAAGCAAAGTTGGGGTTGATTTCGAGTTCACATACAAATGTAAATAGAATAAGCTAATTAAATTTGTCTATTTTAATGTAAGACAAAATATTTTTCATCAGTGATAGAAATGATTTAAGACGGTAGTGCAAGCAAGTCTAGTTTGAAAAAGTTTAAAAGTAAATAAGACACAATTAGACAATATTTGAATAAAATAATAAGAATAAGAAGACTGATTGTTGAATAAAGTCGTTTTTTTTTTTTCTTTTGCGCACAAATAGTATTCTCGTAGCTTCATAAAATTACGGTTGAACCCCTGATGTCACATGGATTATTTTACCGATCTCCTTGCTACGTTTCTGGACGTTGATCGTGTTAGGATCCTTGCTGTCTATGGAGGGTCAGAGAGCTCTCGGAATGCATCATAAATATCTTAAATATAAAAATATCTTGTGTTCCGAAAATGAACGGAGATCTTACGGGTTTGGAACGACATGAGGGTGAGTAATTAATAACAGAATTTTCATTTTTGGGTGAACTAACCATTTAATCTCGCAAAAACATGTCTAGATCATATTTCACCCAAAAATAAAAAGAGCATGGTATTAACATAGTATATGTCCAAATGCTATGGTATTACCATGAAGCAATCAGGCTACGATATTATTGGTTTTGTTAATTAACCATTACAATTTGTGGCATTTCATGAAAACTAAAGGTGCTTTCCTGGTGAATTCTAATTATTTATAATAAATGTAAAAAAAAAAAATTCTAATTTTTTCCCCCCAGTTCGAATTATTCTTAAAGGTAATTGTCATTAGATTCCCTTTACTGTTTATTATGAATAAATAGTGTTACCTGAGGTATAAATACTTAAAATAATAAAAAAATAAAAAATCAAATCAAATATATCTTTTTGTTATAAATATTGCATAATATTAATATATTATAATAGTTTTATAATATTAATATATTATATAATGTATTAAATTTAAATTATATAATATTAGAGATATTTAAAAATGAATAAAATATATATAAAAACTAGTGCTGTCAAATGATCAATCACAATTAATCGCATCCAAAATAAGTTGTTTACATAATATACGTGTGTACTGTGTATATTTATTACGTACATATAAATAGACACACATGCATGTATATATTTAAGAAAAATATGTTACGTTTATACACTGAACAAAATTATAAACGCAACACTTTTGTTTTTCCCCCCATTTTTCATGAGCTGAACTGAGAGCACTAATAAAAATAAATAGTAAAATAGTGTTAAAACAATAACTACCCTGATTTATTAATACCTGAAATGCTAATTTTCTATATATAAGTGATGTTTTGTTATATAAAAATATTAATATATTAAATTTACGTTATATAATATTAAAATATAGAGTATAGAATAACATGCATTATATTATAGCATATTTACATTTTGCATCTATATTATAAACAATTGTACATTAAATTTTAATTTTATAATGTATTGCATGAAAAAACTGAATAGAATATAGAATAAAATATGTAGTATAACTATTGTTTATATTATAGCATATAACAGAAAAGTGTTATTTTTGTAAATTTGTTACACATATATTGTTATATAACAATTGTGTAATATAATAATTTTTTATTATATAAAAATACAATGTATAAAATATATAAGAGTTAAAAGTATGTCTTATGTGTCCCATTGCAGTAATGAGAATGTGTGTTAGTACAGCAATTCTTTGTTTTTGGGATGAGTTATGAGCCAGACATGTTCTTCACAGTAACTGAAGTGAATCACGTTGTGCTTTCTTCCTCCCACCTGCTCTTCCTTCATTATTCATGTTTGACTGGAGCTTCCTCATCACTCTGTATTCTGACAGTAAACGCTCACAGCAGACATTAACATCTGATCTGAATCGCAGAGCGTAATCTGAACCCGAAGGCTGCGTGTCTGAAGAGGAGAGAGGAGGAGAAGGTCACAGGAGATGCGCAGATGCTGTCAGGTCTGAGTGGAGACGGACACAGCCATATGTAACGCTCAGGTGAGCTTCACACCTGCGATTATGATGAAGCAATCGAATATTCATATTGTGTTTATGCACTTGGTGGTTGCTTTTATCCTAAACCAGTTGCATTGCATTAAATGTGTACGTTTGATTAGTTCATGTATTTCCTGGGAATCAAACACAGAGGTTTTTACCATGTTTAGGGCAGAGTCCTATGAAATCAGTTTTTTTTTTTTTTTTTTTTTTTAGTTCCAAATTTCCTTTTTTTCCTGTTTTGATTACTCTGCATTCCATTTTTTCAGTTTTAATATTTCTGGATTCCATTCATTTTAATTTAAAATTAATTTAAATTTTTAACTAAAATTACACGAATTATATAAAATTACAAAATTTGCCAATGAAATGTGTTTTTTTTCTCCTCCATTTTACTATTTTCCAAAATCTATTTTTTCTGCTTCTAATATTCTGGATTCCTTTTTTGTTTTAATTTTTCTGGATTCTGATTAAATAAGTTTATAAAAGTTTAACAAAAAATACATTTTTGCCCTATGAAATCCAAAAATTCTTTTTTTCCCCCATATTCCATTTTTTTCTTTCATTCTGGATTCCGTCTTTTTTATGTTACATTTTATTTATCAACAAGTTAATTTTTAATTAATTAAAATCATGAAACCTACATAATTTAACAACAGGTTATTAACAAAAATTACATTTTAGGGCCTTAAGATTTTTTCCCCAAATCTTCCCCACCAACCAAATTCTATTTTTTTTTTTTTTTTTTTTTTTTTTTTTTTTTTTTTTTTGCTTTTTTTAACACAATAAAACAATCTGAACTTGATTTAACTATTGACAGTAACTTTATTTTTTATGCATTCTGTTTTCATGGTTAAATTTTATTTTATTAATCAAAAACCTGTCAAATTAATTTAACAACAATTTATTAAAAGTTATTACATTTTAAGGCCTGATGTAATGTTTTTTCTTCCAAGTTCTGTTTTATTTTTTTTTTACAAATTTTGTTTAACAGTCAAAGATGATGTATAATCAATTGAATTTGGAAAACTTTAAAGGTCCCATGACATGCTGCTTTTTGGATGCTTTTATATAGGCCTAAGTGGTCCCTAGTACTGTATCTGAAGTCTCTTTCCCGAAATTCAGCCTTGGTGCAGAATTTCAGCCACTACGAGCCAGTCCCACAATGAGCTTTCCTTAGGACGTGCCATTTCTGTGTCTGTAGCTTTAAATGCTAATGAGGAGGAGAGAGGCGGGGCAACTGCCATGCTTCGCTCGTTTGCAAGCCATGATGTCTCTCGAGGAAAAAAAAATATTGCACTCGCCTCGCACTGTAGTAGCTCATTTTCTCATGGGCGGGCCAAATTCTCTGGGCGGGCAAAGCAGAGAAAGGGGAGGTAACCTTTCCCCGTATGACGACATAAAGGGAAGATTCCAGATTGGGCCATCTGAGCTTTCATTTTCTCAAAGGCAAAGCAGGATACCCAGGGCTCGGTTTACACCTATCGCCATTTCTAGCCACTGGGGGACCATAGGCAGGCTAGGGGAACTCATATTAATGTTAAAAAACCTCATAAAGTGAAATTTTCATGCCATGGGACCTTTAACAATTTAATAATTTATTAAAATTTTTACAATAATAGGTCCATATAAAATATGTAATATTTTAAAAATTCAGTTTTGTCCCTTTGACTTTTTATGGATTTACTGTTTAATAATGTAGTATCAAAAACGGTAATAATCAAATGAATGCATAAAACTTTTTTAAACTCTTTTAAAATTTAATGAAAAGTTAACAATTCCTTTTCATATTTTGGCAAACAGTGCTACACAACAGCTGTTAAATTAAAACGTGGGAGAAAATTTTTTTTTTTTAATCTATTATTAATATTATCACTTTAAGACACATTCTACTGTACAGCAGTAATATATTTCTTATTTCTCAGAGTTCAACCAAACTCTTATTTTGACGGGTTGTCGTGAAGAGCTGTGAGTTTCTGTGTATCTGATGATAGTTTAATGCTGCAGAAGTGAACGAATGCATTCAGTTTCCACTGCGACTCTGCTTTTACTCTGAATGAATGAAAACCAGCTTTACATCTTGAACGTCTTTGCATGCTGTTTTTCCCGACAGATCCTGACATAAGGAAGCTCTCCGTCGACGTGGCCTTATCTTCCCGTTCTTGTTCCAGAGTCCACACACACACACTCTCTCTCACACACACACACACACACTCGCACACTCACACACACGTGATTTATATATGATAAACAGATGTGTTGAAGACTCACATGCACACAGTAACTTCCCGAGCCGCTCGTTGTGCTCGTGATCATGGACCATCGGTGGAAATCAGCGTCTGCGGGTCCGGACCGTCCTGCTGTTTGATGCTGCGGCGTTCCATTTACAGTGTGCTGTTATATAGCACACACACCCATGAGCCTTTGTATTCAACACAAGGTCAAGCTCCGCTGCGGGAACAGATTCCTTTTTTTTTTTTTGTAGTTCATGTATTCGAGTTTGACTTTCTTTTGTACCGATTTGTGTTTATGATGTAGAAAGAAATGTTCAGTTTTGATACGCAATGTTTGTGGTTCTGTTTGGGGATCGCCACTAATGCGTGAATCCCACAAAACTGCCCATATTTCACCTCTAAAAACAAGAGAAATTATATCAAATTCATTTTTTAAGGAAAATTAAGCCTGTTTTAATGGAACATTAAGATTTTTCATTTTTATGACCAACACATTTGCCTCAAATTCTCATTATTATAAGGCAAAAAAAACAAAAAATATATATATATATTACACTTTAAGGTAAAAAAAAAAATCAAAATGTAAATTATGCATATTTGAGTGTTTATTGTGTGTCCTTTATGCTTATTTAAATAATTGAATTACAGTTTTTTATACTGTATAAGGTATACAGTATACAGTACATATATAAGGATATAAAATTCTAAAATATAACTCTTGGACACATTAAGATAATGGTAAAAAATCATAATGATCCTTAAAAACAGGCTTTATTTTCTTCAGGTAAATATATTTAATTTTTTTGTCTTTTTTCTTTTATTTTCAGGGAGGTGAAATATCTGAATGTGTTTTTGTAGAATTTTTTTTTTAAGGAAAATCAAGCCTGTTTTAAAGGACATTATGATTTTTTTTATTCTGACTTTTTATGACCAACACATTTGCCTCAAAATGTCATTATTATAATGCAAAAAAAACAAAAACGTAAATTATTCATCAAATTTATTTTGTGTCCTTTATGCTGATTTAAATGTAAATCATTGTGTTACAGTATTTTTACTGTATTATATTTAAAAATATATAAGGATATGAGAATAAAAACATTTAGAAATAAAACACTTGGACACATTAAGGTAATAAAAAAAAAAAATGCAAAAGTCATAATGATCCTAAAAGTAGGCTTTTTTTTTTCTTTTTCTTTTTTCTCGGTTAAAATATTTTATTTTATGTTTTATTTATTTGATTAGATTTTTGAGGTGAAATATCTGATTGTGTTTTTGTGGGATTGGCGCTAATATCTGCCATCATTCACCAAAGCACCAGAGCTTGCGTTTTTCATCGTGGATTTCTGAAGTATTGGAAAACGCTGGATAATATTTTCTTTTTGTGTGCGTCTCATTTACGAGCAGCTCGTTTTATATCGCAGAGGAAAGCTCTCGGAAACGTTTCTTTATGCAGATGTGTGACTGAGTCTGAGCATTTCAGCCGTGTATTACCACACGTTTCTGAGGCCAGCTATCAATATGCTTTGGATTTGTTAAGCTGGACTTTAATTTGGTTTCTTTAGAGCAGATTTTGCTCACACGATACAATATCTGACTAGTACGTAGTTAACAGATACTCGGATTAATTAGCGATTCATTGCTAAAGTTGTGCATTTGATCAACTCAAAAAGTGTTGATTCACGAATTTTCCGCCAATATTTCTACACAAAGTAGAGAAAAATAGATCGCAAGGGTCTTTACAAGACGACCCCGACTTTTACTTCTTTTATAAAGTTCTGTTAAATGTTTGTGTTTACTTGTTTTTGTTATTATCTGTGTTGATTTTAAATGTTAGATGAATGGCGAAAACTAGTGCTGAAGTACGCCAGGAACAAATTGTGTTTCATATTTCTATTGCAATTTTATTATCGGGAGATCTTGGAAATAATTTGCCATTTAGAGATGCCAATTTTGCGTTTAATACGCACGTTTATAAGGTATGGAAGCCCGTTTCCGCCACTGAATAAGAAATAAAAAAAAGGTAATTGCGACTTTTTATCTCACAATTCTGACTTTTTTCACAGAATTGTAAGATATAAACTCACAATTGCGAGTTATAAAGTCAGAATTGCGAGACATAAAGTCACAATTGCGAAATAAAAACTCGCAATTCTGACTTTTTTTCTCACAATTCTGACTTTTTTCACAGAATTGTAAGATATAAACTCACAATTGCGAGATAGTCACAATTGCAAAATAAAAACTCGCAATTCTGACTTTTTTCACAGAATTGTAAGATATAAACTCACAATTGCGAGATATAGTCACAATTGCGAAATAAAAACTCGCAGTTCTGACTTTTTTTTCTCGCAATCGACTTTTTTTCTCGCAATTCTGATTTTTACAAACTCGCAATTCTGATTTTTTTTTTCTGAGAATTGAGATATAAACTCGCAATTGCGAGTTAAAAAGTCCAATTTTGAGGGGGGAAAAAAGACCGATATGTTCTTAGAATTGCGAGTTTATATCTCACAATTCTGAGAAAAAAAATCAGAATTGCGAGAAAAAAAGTCGATTGCGAGAAAAAAAAGTAGAATTGCGAGTTTTTATTTTGCAATTGTGACTATATCTCGCAATTGTGAGTTTATATCATGAGTTTATCTCTAGAGATCATTTTCTTTTCTTCCTTAGTACTAACATCGTCTTTTACAACTAAAAGATGATTATATGAATTATTCTTGTTTATGTATTGCGAAAATGTAAACTCTTAAAGGAGCGAGAGAGTGGCCTTCCTCATTCTCCGGCGGCGGGGAGTGATCCTGTACTAGTGCCTGCATCGTTTTGTTCAGTTTTATCCTGGAGTCAGTCAGGTTTTTATTCAGACGTCACGTCTTGTGGCTTCGACTTGAGAATATTTTATAAATTCACATGAGGAGGGACGTGAGGATTCCAGATGTATGTTAAGCGAATTCCTGTTCCTCTGAGCAAATAAAGTACTTTCTTTGTAAACATGGATCTGTTTGTGTCAATTCTGTTTGTCCAGCTTTAGCTCCTGTCAAATCTTGACTGATTTTGATCAAGTAAGCGTCAGAATAACTGCAGTAATATCTCCAGCTATACTGTTATAAAGATCTCACTGATTTACATTACAAGCATCTCATCATAGAAATATTAGTATGCACCAAATTCATATTTTTGCTCAGTTTGGGCTTTTTAATCAAATTGAGGATCATATTCTCCCTGTATCATGCTATATGAGCAATAAAAGACTGATGTATGAGATATGAGAGGCTACTTTAAAAATGAATGTAGTTTCATATTTCAGGCTTTACAGGGTTAATGCTGTTCAGAGATTGACTAAAATACTGGACATTATTGCACAATATACATTACAATAGATGCAAGAAATCAGAAAGAGATCATGTGACAAAAAGTGTTCGAAGTTCAGAATCTTGCTGCACGGTATTATTGGAGAATATACCGGTGCTGGTGGTTGTTGTGTAATCTGATTACTTTTTTCAAGTAACTAGAAAAGTAATGCATTACTACTTTAAATTAATTAAAGTTCCCCTACTCTATGTGTTGACGTCATTTTAACTGAAATAGGAAGACAGGGACGGGACATATCAAGCAGCCCCGCCCCTTTTTAAAATAGCCAATAGCGTTTGTTTATATCACAGCTCGGGCTAGAGCCGTTGAGCTCCGTAAAGCCGCATTTGACAGGGTATGCCAGCCACAATCTCATCCATATTGCTATAAAATATAGCATTCTGTGTAGAATTCAAATAGCTCCGATACATTTTGTGGTCTGCGCCGACTCGCGCATGTGATCCGTCGTGTCTCTGGACCGGAGCAGAGTGTGTGTGCGCTGCGGTGGTTAGCGTGACACAGCACGAAACCAGACTTCTTTTTTTCCTCAATCGAAAGCATATTTAAACTGTTTGAATCGTTCCCTGTCCCCTATATAGTGCACTACGTGCCATTCACTGTACAGAAAATACTAATGCTGTGGACAAGTGACCGATTTTATAGTGTAGGGGGCGGGCGCTTCGGATTCTAGAGAGCATTTGATTGGACAAAGTTTGATTCTGATTGGTCAGATGGCCTAGTCTGTTGTGATTGGTCTACGGCGTACAGCGCGTGTCGGAAACGATACGCCTGTTTCAATAGTTCTGTATTTTGAACGCGAAAGTTTAACTTTGAAAAAAACATATAGAGACTTTATGGCCGGTTTTTCCCCATCCCACTGCATCTCATGTTTTTAAATGAAAAATGTACTCTGTGTGATTGGCTTTCCGCCCTTTGTATTAAACTATGCATACAGACATGATGCTGTTTTGTTAGTTGTTTAAGCAACTTAATTAATTATACATGGTTTATAAACATTATTTTAAACATTATGCCATTTTTTTCAAAGATAGTCATGTTATCTTATGCTTTGAATGATGCGCCCTCTTGTGGCCTCAGAAGAGAAGCCAAAAGCCTTTCTTCACCCTAACTGAAATTATGCTTTTTAAATTCGAATATAATTCGAATTTTGATCATATTTAAGTACAAAATTCGAATTTAGTTTTTCAGCCATTTTGACAGCCCTAATAGACACTACTGTACATTAACCAGTCAAACGTTTTTGAACAGTAAGATTTGTAATGTTTTATAAAGAAGTCTCTTCTGCTCACCAAGCCTGCATTTATTTGATCCAAGCAAATACAGCAAAAGCAGTAATATTGTGAAATATTTTTACTATTTAAAATAACTTATTTCTATTTCAATATATTGT